ATATTTAAAAGTTTTATTATTTACTATTATATTTAATAAGTAAAATATAATAAATTTTTTAAGTATAATAAATTTAATTTTGTATTCAATGAATACAATACTTCGATATCAAAAAAAAAGAAAAAAGTTAAATTATTAATATAAAAAAATCTTATTTTCTATTATTATTATATAAACAAAACAATTCAATTTTGCAAAATGTTATACTAATTTTGCATAAATTATATATTTCTTGGTTGCAAACGATAAAAACATGGCGTCCAATGCTTTGCCAGACAAGTAACTTTACTGAGTCATAGCATATAGTTCAATCAAATTTACGAGAAAATAGAAGATAAACAAAACTAAATAGGTAAACAATATGATTTACGAAATTTTATATGAAGTAATTTTATAAAATCAAAGTTTTACAATGATTCTTTAAAATTAAAATTAAATCAATTATAGTTTTAGCTTCTTTATAAATTATAAGAAATTTTGGAAATATGTATTAAATATTTCTATTTTAAGTTATATTAAATATAATTTTTTTTATTTTCATAATAGAATTCATGAATATAAAGTTCATGAATATTATAATCATTAAATTAAAATTATTTGACAAATTCGATTCTCTTTCCTACTAACTAATACCTATACGCACGCTTGGCATAAAGAAAAAAAATGGAGTCACTGGTCGATCAATCGGCAAATTTTTTCTTTAACAAGTTCTATCTTTTTCAACATAAAAATATATATATTATTATATAAAATAATACGTACTTTTCTCTTGCTTGAGAATCAGAAGGTACCGTGGACCCCTTCCCCTTCGCGTACATCCTCGAAGACTGTCAATTTTTCCAGTGTAAACAGAACCACAGTTTCGTTCCACAGATAGTAATGTCCGACACCGTCGTTAGTTCCGCTCGACGGGGAAAAGGAAGAACTTGAGAGAATATTACAATTTAATGCCGGCAGAGGGCGAGGTATCGCTGATATGTGTGAGTGTACTCTCTAAGTAGAGCGGTGATTGTTAACATCGAGGCCGTAGAAAGAAACGCACTTGTATAAAAGAAGTAAAGTTAAAGAATGGAACCCAGTATTACTTATCCGATTTTTAAATATTTAAAATATATATAAAATAACATACGGTGTACATAAAGAAAATTGAATGTAGCCATAAAGATTTTCAACTTTTTAAAGAAATATCAGGAAAATATGCACACTTGTTTTAAACAAACAAAAAAAAAAAAAAGAAAATAATCAAAATGAAGAATTGCAATAATGTCCACTTAATTATCGCTTGACTGTTGATTTTTCCTGCTAATTTTTAAATTACTTTATCAAGCCAGTGTTCGTATTATCTTTGATTCGTGATCAGCGTTATCTTATAATAAGATTCTTAATCAAAATAAGAAAAATAAAATTTTTATATCGTTTATAGTTTGTTAAGTTAATTAAATTTTTAAAATATTTTTCAATAAATTTTATACCGTATTTTCATACTTATATTTATATTTTATAATAAATTTAAATTATATGAATAAATATAAATATATAATACATTGTATAATAATTACTAAAATTTTGCTTTCTAAAGAATCAAAAAAATTCGAAAGAGATAATAATCGACAATTCTTAGAACACCTACCATCCCAAATAACTGTCCGTGATACAGATCCAAGCGTACAACAGTTAAGCGGACATTACTATATTTTCTATCAGTCACACGTCACGAACACGTCGTACCAGTGCTGCGGCCAGACAGACAGATATACTCGCATTTCACCTCGTCAAGTTCACTTTAACGACACGTCGATTCCACAACTTTTGATGCGTACGTCTACGACTTAACACACGTTCTGTGTATAGATAATTGTTTCTATTTTATTCTTTTTTTTTTTTTATTCTATCACACCTACCTATTCGGTAGTGAACGAGAACGAAGCACAGTGTCACTTTTACACACATGTATTAGATACAAGTGAACTTATTTTTATATAAACACGCACAAGTTTGGAGTGTTTCATACACGATATGCGCGCAGTTCTCATACACAAATACACAATACCGAAAGCACTGCCATCTTCTTCGTTCTTATTCTAACTATTCGTCTTTGTCTTGTCTGTGGGTCATAAAAGCTGCGCACGCATCTTTGCTTTTCACATCAGGACCGTACATAAATTAGGTCCTATTAATCTATTTTATTACTTTAGATTTTATATTTTCTCATTTTCTTTTAGTCAAATTCAATAAGTTATAATTTTACTAGTTTTATTATTATTTTAATTAATTTCTTTTTTTATAGTTTATATTAATTTGATATATTTAAAACTAAAATTTTCCATGCAATATTTTTTAATAGTGTTAAAAAACAAATATATTTATTTTAAATTTAAATTTTAAAATTAAAAGATTTTTTTTTTGGGTCATTAATATAAAAAAATTATAAAATATTTTTATAAAAAAAATATATATTGTTTGTCAAAAATATTTTGCATAAATTAGTAATATAAAAATAGGTAAGATATAGCACCTATTATTTTTACATTCCTGGTTGCAACTCTATGTGCTATTGGACGCCGATCGTTGCATGGAGTACTATATATATATATAGTGCAAGCGACAGTATACATGCTATCGGCGCATATAACTATAGCGGGAATAACCGAACATAACCGAATATTGTCGAACATTGCCGATGCAAAATAGCCGACAATTGACTGAGCGTCGAGGGGTCGGACAGAAAAGAGACAAGCCATTCCTTTGGGTGTACAGCTTCCCCTTTCTCAACTTTATCATGAAATTAACATATTATTGACTTTTGTAAAAAAAAATTTATAAGTTTATTCATTTCATATATTTTTATTTCAAAATGTTTTTTTTTTTAAGAAAAAATGAAAGTAATAATAATGAAATATTTTTATTCGTTTTATGTACTGAATTAGTTTGAGATTTTTTTTTAATAATTATAATATATATATATATATATATATATATAAAATAATTTATGTGTAATATATTATATACATATATATGTAATGCATATGTATCTATAATGATGCATTGGTATTAAAATATTTTAATCAAATTTTTTATTTTTTTATTATGTAAATTGTATGTTGATGGATCGTTCATTTGTCATAAAGGATATGAATGTTTAGGAGTGATCTGAGAATAATGGATGGTCCAGGTACGATCACATGGGAGGAATTTCTCGAAGATGCTGAAAAATTCGTACAAATGTCGAATTATATCTCTGATGGATGGGATCTTCGAGGTAATAAGGTGGCTGTTATTTTTTAATTTTTGAAATCTCCAAAAAATATAGAATATAAAGAATTGTTTAAAATTATGAATATTTATATATAATTTGTAGAATATACCAGGTGAAGTATACGTTGTTCGGCGACAGAAACAATACATTTACAATAATTCAAATAATTATACGGTATTGGAAAATAACGATCTCAATTTCATGTTGAAAAAAGAAGATCCATTCGAAGCCACTTGTCCTATCGAGAAACCATTAATTACGGAACATCATATACTATGGTCGATGAGTTATAGCGTTCCAGTGCTTTATTTTAATGGATGGAAATCAGGTGAATGCATCCTATTCATTTGAATCATATAAAAATCTTAAAAAGATTTTAGAAAGAGAAAAAGATTATCTTTGCGATTTATTTTTAATATTTCGTGAATGTCGTTAATTTTAAAATCTATTAAACAAAATGAAATGTCTATTACAATCGTCTTCTGATCACCACTAGACCTTAATCTGATATGTACAGCCTGTTGAAAATGACAGGCGATATAATGCTGATTGTTCCTTCGATTGTAGCGTATCTCGAACTAGGCTAAGAAGTCGGCAAAGAGATCAGAGTAACTGAAGGAGAGAAATACGGGAAACAAAGGAAATCTATGTTTTGCGGCAATATATATGCATTTTTCAGTATTTTGTATTTTCAAATGAATTTATTTGCTAAACTTATTTATGATCTAATCGATAACTTTCAAATATTATTTTTATTTTTTTTATAAATAATTTTTCATGATTTTTTTTACACAAATCTATAATTTATTATGTTTATATATAATTAATTTCTACAGATTTTCCGGGTATTAATTCAATATCAATGGAAGAAGCACAATCTTTTGTTTGTGATACAGAATTAAAGTACAAGGATTTATCTCAAGCAATGCATCCTATATTAGGTACACCTTTTTTATATTTGCATCCTTGTATGTCTCATGAACTTCTACAAATAACGAGCAAAAGGTAAAATATGTAAATAAATATTTATTTTGTAAATTAATATGAAATCGAAATCAATAAATTATTTTTTTTATTTTAGTAAAAATAAATTAGTCAGCTGGCTCAGTACTGTTGCTCCTGCTGCTCTTAATCTTAAATTACGTCCCGAATATTATCAATTAACTATCTAATATATAAATTTTAAAATATCATAATAAAATAAATATATAAATTGTAATATATTGTGTAACTTCAAAAAAAAAAACTGTCTATTAAATTGAATAAAACTATATAATAAAAATATTCTTTTTTTAATATAAAATAATCTTATTCAATACTCTTATATTTTATTAATTAATTAATTTTATTCTTAACTATTATAATTATTCCTATAATTCAAAATTGAATAGAATTGCTTATGGTTTATCGCTTTTGCGCAGACAACATGTGTCAACTGGTGGAGCTTCATTCAAGTGCGAAAATTTGATTGGTTCAGCCAGCAACTGAAAGTTATCTGAATACCAATCAAATTACATGGCTCATGGAACTCGCCTTTTCTCCCCTTCCTTTTAACTTCCCCACCACCCGCGCGCTTTTCGAACATTTGGCTCAAATGACATGCTTCTAGTTCACAGTCTCGCGACTGTTATCGTACGGTATACACGAAAACGTGATATAAGAAGTGAATTGCAGTGTTTGCTTTCCTTTTTTTTTATAAATTGAGCTAAAACTACTAAAAATTTATATTTATATAGTTTTTTTAGTACTTGTTTGCGCGTTTTTCCACAAGAGAAATCGGTGCTTATTTAATGTGCATGCGAAGTGTTTCAAGAATAAAAATCAAAACAAATCATCGATAATCTTCGTTTTCAGGTAAAAAATTTAAAATAAAGTAAATTAAAATATTTATTACTTGTTTAAAATTTAAAAATTATAATTTCTAAAAACAAATGCACTTTTACTATTCATATATAGTGAAATATAGAAATAAATTCAGTTAGTTTATAAATTTAAAAGTATGTATATTATACTTTTAACTATCGATAACTTAAATACAAAGATATTGTTAAATGAACAAATATTCTTTTTATCTGCTTTTTATTTTGCTATAATTTTTTACTATTCATATCGATTAAATAAAAATATAAAATGTTAATTATAAATTACAATATTATTTATATATTTTTTATATTTTATACGATATACAAAAACATACGGGACGTATTTTACTTATATACGTTTTACATTGCTTTGATATACTCTATATAAAAACTATATATAATTTATATTATTATACATATATATAAAGTGACATAGATATAATTCCAAAGTTAGGTTATTTAAATTGAACACAAATATTCAATTAAGTTCATTAATTAAAAATTTAATTTGATATTTTAATTTTTATCTATTTTAAATAATACATAATTTATAAATAATTATAATAACTGTTTTTAAGTAAGTTAAAATTCACATATCAATTTTGTCAATTAATAATTAATTTAATTTTGACAAAACATCAAAAAAAAGAACTTCATAATCAAATTATAAAAATTAAGTATAATTAGTGATAAAATGTATAAATTTAATATTATCAATCTATCTTATCTGTAAATATTATGCAATAGCTAATATATACAAAAAGAATATAAATATTAAATGAATAGATAATGCATGAATGTTATCTCTAATAAATTTATAATAATATTTTATATTTATATTAATAATTACAAATTGATTGATATATATTGCACTCCACTGTATGAACAAGTAAGAATCAAAACTTTAATTTTAATATAATGTTTCTCACCAAATAATTGCTTATTGATAAAATCACGAAAATAAAAATCGAAGAGCAATATTTATCATTTGTTTATATTTATCATTTTATCTATATATTCGAGTTGGTATATTCTCATATCATAGATTAATTTTATGTAATATAGTGTATCGTTGTATAAATCTTTTTCAATTTTGTCGCAAACATAAAGTATGAGGCATTAGAAATTATAATATAATCTCGATAATATATTTCTATAATATATCTCTGCTGTATTTCTTTTATAGAGCTTTTTTTAGTGATATTTTTATTTATCAAGAAGAAGTTAATTGAAAATTTTTCTT